AAATTTTCTATTGCCCCATTAAAAAAGTAATATTCTGGCTGAAAATGGAAATATCTTGATTTAGAAATACCCCCCTAATAATGACTCCATTGGAGTTGTAGTTCAGGTGTCTCATGCGCCTTTCTCTTCTGTAGTCTGGGCTCCTTGCTCAGACCCCGATGATGCACCAGGCCTCCTTTCCTTTGAAGAGAGAGAGTTGTATAGTTTCATGGGAGTCTATAAGTAAGGTGATAGGTTTTTCTGAGGCAATCAGAATTCCTACAAGAAGTACTTGACTAGTCACAGGGGTCATATTCACAGGTATTCACAATTTTGAACAACTTTAAAGCAAGACAAATGTGTATCTATTGTCTGTCAGGACTTCTGTGTACAACCACGGTCTAATGCAGTAAATTGCTTTAGATTGACTTGCAAACAAGATATTGTATGTTCAAAATATTCATCCTGGTTAAAAAAGAGAGGTTGCTTCTAATATTGTCTTTTTAAAATTTGTTTTCTTGACTCTAGGTTACTCACGGGAAGAAAGATTCACACAGAAAAAGAAGCTATAGAGGTAGGTGGGGTCTGGTGTGCACATCCAGATATCTGCCTGTTACTTTGCTGTTTCTTTTGTCTCTATAAAGCTACAGATAGCCTCATTTCCATCCTTCTTTGTTTCTCTAATGAGTTTTGATAATTTGGGGACATGCTTTGGACACACTGGCTGCATCCACACGAGTGTGGCCATGCAGTTGGTGGCACTGCAGACACATCTGTGGCACCACATACTGCAGGTTAAGTTGTTCTTTGTGCTGCAAGGGAGCAGCATGGAGGATTGGGGGTTTTTTGACACCTTGATATCCAGGCATCAGAAAAGCCCATGGGGAAAAAAAAAGCAGAGTGGTGCACGTGGCAGCAGTGTGTGCCGCCCGAAGCTGGAGCTTGGCCAGCCAGAGCTGCTCTCTGCTGCCAGCCAGGCTCCACGTGGCAGGATTGCCACCACTGCGACCCTAGAAAGCCCCCAGGTCCCTGGGTAAGGCTGCTGTGGCCAGCCCAGTGCTGGCCCCAGTCTTCCCTTTTCCACCTGGGGTAACTTGCTGTGCAATAGAGAGCACATGTTTCCCAGGGACAACTAGTGGTGGCACAAGGTGCGCTACCACTATTTGTCGCTGGGGAACCAAGTGTCCACGCACGTATGGACACGGTCACAATATTTTTGCTTTCAAAGGTCCAGCACCAAATGGAAAATCTTTCCCAAAGTATTAAGGAAAAAGGAAGTGAGGATGGAGGGGTAATAAATATTTCACCCTGAACCAAGTATTTATGGAAGGGGGAGGAGAGGGAAGCATCATGTATTGTAAATCTTGCCCCGTCCACAATGGAAAAATGCCCTAATTAAGATGAAAACTGTACTCAGTCCTAAAAGTAGCTGTAGATGACAGTGTTATGCTAGCAGCTCCCTCTGTTGGCAGTATCCAGCTCCTTTGATAGCTCCTATGTTGCTTATATGATGTGCTAGAGAGGAAAAAAATTCTGACTAGCTCTGTAATACTACAAGGCGGGAAGGATTGGGGTCTGGATTGTTTTCCTGCTGCAGATCACAAGGAACAAGATTTTTTACTAAAAGGGAACAGATGGTTTAATATCCAGAAAGTTGAATGGCAGGATGGCAGTCCAGGGTGTGCAAAGGTTTAGAACCCTGCTGCATGTTTTGGTGGTTAGATGCTTCCAAGTTGCAAGCACAGAGGGTCATGATACTGGTATGGAGAGCTGATATTCCCAGTTTCAGAAGCATGCTGTTTTGAGGAGAGGAATTAGCACTGTAGGGAGACACTTTTTCTCAAGAAAATGCTGAAATCTGCAGTCAGAACAGAAAATGGTAGAAGAATATGGTGACTTAGGAAGGATTCAGTTCTGTTCCAGCACACTTCATTTCAGTGATTGTGATTAAAATGCTTTGCTGAATGGACTCTGGGGTTATTTCTTCTGATTTGATTTGTCTACTTTCCTGTGGGAACCCAAGTTTCAGGCAAACGGTGGCTGTAACAACACCCAGGAGAGCAGTCAGACTGTAGCAGTGCTGATGTTTTTAGCTTTTCCTGTGGCAAAGCCATCTGAATGTCAATTACTGATTATCTTTTTTCCAGTAGAGATCACATTCTCTTTTTATTTTTATTTCTGTTTTGCATCCCCCTGGTATGCTCTACCCAGGGAAAACCCTTCATCAACTTGCTGCTAGTTACAACAGTGTGTGCTATTCTTATCCTCATTGGTAGAACCAAGCGCCCAAGTATTCACTTAAGGAGTGAGCTTTATGTTGGGAAGGTTAGTTTTTATGCACATATGAAAGCTTTAATATGCTAGTGAGTAGTGATTTTACAAATGAATTATCCATCAATCAGTCTGATTGCTATACAGCTGCCAAATCCTGACCCTTTTTTGCTAATAAAAATCTCTCTTAGCGTTATTTCTAGATGAGAATATTTTTATGTTGGTAGTAATAAAAGTATGTTTTGCATTGAAAATTGGTTTCTAATGTTGCTTGTGTGTGTGCATATGTGGCTTTGTGGACATGCTTTTCTTCCACTGCCTGAAAGACACAGGCCTGGCCTGTGAAGACAAATTCCCAAGCTGGAATCCTTGTTCCACTGAAACCAATAGATGTTTTTGTTGTTGACTTCATTGGGATCAGAATTTTACCCCAAGTCTAGATTGAGATTAATTCTAGCATTATCCCTAACTAAACAGAGCCAGTTGTTAATGTAGTGGAGAATGAATCCTGAAATGGGAAATACTAAAATTCTTGAAGAACTTTCCAGTATAGAAGAAAATTTGATTTTTTTTCTGTTACTTCATAGATGCATTGTACAAGCTGGATAGGTAACTGCTTTTTACCATATGTGCGTGTGTGAAGAAGTCTGCTTAAGTAACTTCAAAGCTTAGAAGAAAGGAAAGCAGCACAGAATAAAATAATAGAAATAAGTCCTTATTCAGTGCTTCTGAGTCATAAGTAAACTGAGAAGATCTTTTGTTAAATTCTTCTAGGGGATTTAATATTTTATCTGCTGCTTATGATAAATCCATTACTGAAATCACTGATTCTTTTGTGAAATCAAACTCTCACCCATAGCAACCAACTGTGATGTCACAAGTGGTGGATTATTATTTCAAGTTAGAAATACAGAAACAGGAAATATGTATCTGTATAAAGTACAACACTTGCATGTTTGTGTACATATACACAATTTATACATACAAGCTTTGAAACATGCCAATACCTAGTTCCCAAAATGAAAAGGGGATTGAGAAGCCTCAGATAAATTCCCTCTGAGGGTTGCAGGGACCAGTATTACTGAAGCAAACATATCCAGAATCCGTGAGTGATATGCAATAAAATGGTTTTGTTTTTCACACTTGGGAAGGTAATGGATATGCTTCATGCTATGGGACCAGAGACTGTGGTGATCACCAGCTCAGATCTACAGGCACCTCTAGGAAACGACTACCTAATTGCACTGGGGAGCCAAAGAAAAAGTAAGTGATGGTTTTGCGGGGGAGGGGTTGTTTGTTTTTTAAACAGTTCTTTGTTTCTGTTGCTTCAAATTGCTTTCATGAAAGCAAGGGGCAGTTTAGTTGCATAGGTTTGCTCTAGGTTTGGCAGTCAAAATCAAATATCACACTATTCTTTTGACAGAATAGGCCATTCCTTCCACATTGTTTATATTTGCTTCTGTTCCCTCAACATTTTCCTTGCAGGAATACTAAGCTTGCTCTCTAAGCTTCAAGTATTGTATGAAGTTTTTATGCTAAAGGAGTGCCATTGTGTGGAGATGGCAAATAATCCTGCTCTTTCTTTGCCCATGCAATATAAATCTAGAGGTGGCAGGCTGGGTTGCCAAATAAAAAAATTTAGTGAAATAGAAACTTGTATAAGAAACGGCTGATATTTTTCAGTGCTATTCATTTATATATGTCTGTAAATAAGCTGCTTTTTCCATAAATTTCATTCTGATCATTTCAAATGTTCCTAACAGGGCAGAGGTAGGCTACTCCTCCATTTTTAATACAACCCAGAGGCCACAAGTTTCAGTAGATGATGCCCCATCTTGATTTCAGCAACTTCCACATGCACCAGACTCACTGAATCAACTGCTGTTGAGATCAAGGTGGAAAAAATTATGCTGTAACTTGTACGTGCTGTGGTTTGCTATTCTATAAGGAAGGTTAAGATGTGACGTATCACCTCCATCTTATCCAAATGGGCTAGGGACAGAAATTACACATAAACAGGCGTAATTGATTAGAAACCGGTTCAGATCTGTAACACAACAGAAGTTCAGTGCACATAAACCACTTTCAAAGGGGCCAAACTACTTTAAGATAAACATGGCTGGATGTAGTATCAGACTTAGCTGATTTAGGTTAAATTGGTTTATTGAACTTCTGCCCCATACCCCCACTAGATTCAACTAAACTCACAACCCCCCAGCATCCAAGGGTGCTTTGCACCTCCTTTGCAAACCTCCCCCCACCCACTCTTTGCAAGGTGGGTGGGCTAGCCTTGGCCCAAGCATCTGGTCCAGCTGAGCAGGAAGCCATCCTCTAGCGGCCCATGGCTTCCAGCCTAGGTCACTGCTGGCATGTGGCTGCATTTCTGGAATCAAAGTGAATGTTCAGGCTTTTTGACTGTCTGTACTTAGCACTAATGTGAAGTGTAAGGGTTGCTACTGTGTTTTCCAGTCTGACAGAGTATGAGGGACAACACAGTTTGAAAAAAACTATCAGAAAGTGACCATCTTTAAGATCCTCTTCAGAACTTATCAATTTAATGCTGGAAACCCTGCTGGAACTGTTGTTTGGTGATCTTACTCTTGTATTATTTGGGGAAGAAAGCCGATTATTTAAATGTGCCTTTACATTGTAGCTGAAGCAGATGGTACAAAAGTGATGCAGAGAATTCGTGTGGAGTCTCCTAAAGTGGATGCTGTCTTTGTTGGAACAGGAGACTTGTTTGCTGCTATGCTCTTGGCCTGGACACACAAACATCCAAACAATCTTAAGGTATAATGTTTGGGGGGTTTCTATCATCCCATGGCAAATACTGCAATTAACTATTTCTTTCACTTTTTTTCCCCCCACTGGTTCCACGAAATGGAGATCTGGCACTTTTTGAAAGAGTTTGAGCTGTTTCTATGGCTGAGTTCCATCTTGGAAACTTAAAAATTCTGGTTATATAAAATGACTTTTATAAATATCTGCAGTTGGAAAGGATATTTTTTCCTTCTGTACCCAGAGAACACCCTTTTGAATAGTATCTTTGAGTGATGGATTACTATCCTTTGAATGGCAGTTCACCTAGAATATCTCTTTATGTAGTCTGTGAACTGATTTTTGGGATGTTGCTCAATCTGAGATATTGTATATAGATAACTTTTTGAATCCTTGGTTCATAAAAAGAGCCTAAAATCAGGTATCAGTTTAAGGGTCTTATTTTATGGCTCTTCTGGATACTGCATTCTTGCTTTGGACATTTTGTTCCTGGTTTATTACTTTGGATTATTAAAGAATTCCAAAGATTTTTGGGCCATATATTACATTCACTGCCAAACTCTCTCTGTGCTTTTATAGAGTTGAACAACTCAGTTTTCTTTTACCTTTCAAATTATCCTCTAAACTTTACCTTTCAAAAGCACTGCTAATAACTTGAGTAATTGAAATATGAGTGAAACCTGAATGTATTTCCTGTGATCACAGGTGGCATGTGAAAAGACTGTATCAGCCATGCAACATGTTCTACAAAGGACCATCACAAGTGCAAAAGGTAATCAGTTCACTCTATGCTCCTGAATTTATTCTCTTCACATCCTCTTTGAAACAAAAGTCTGAAATATTTTTGAGTTTCAGCACTGCAGAAGTCTCCTGCACTCTGTACAGCAGGGTATTAGGGAATTCCAGTGCTGGGGCTAGAGTTAGCCCAGCTGCTGGTCTGTTTCCCCCTGTGTTCTTTGTTCTTGCTTTGGGTAATATGGTGATAAAAATGTCACTAGCCATTTTGTGCTAGTGTTGCAACAGGTGTGGATTTGTATTACTGCTAGAGCAGTGATGTGAGAATTTGTAGCAAAGCTGAGTGCAGCAATATGAAGGAGCCTCATCACTGGTGAATAATTTTCTTCTTCCTGTATATGTTAGGACTGGAATGGATTTCTCAACTGGTAATGAGCAGTGCATTTGTGTCTAGCTGAAGAGATTACTCTTTAACTAGCCTTACCCTTGGAAGTGGAGGAGAATGCAGCTTTGAGCATATATTTGACTGTACTAGCACATCAGCTTGGCACTTCCCACCTAGGATATGTGCATGTGTGTTGTTGCTGAGCTCTTTCAGTTTCCATGAAGGTCCAAAGAAAAGTTGCATGACCTCAGAACTTATCTGGATCAGTCTATAAGCAATGATAAAACAATAAGAATAATTCTGGGAGACTTGAGGGGCCTAAGGATTTTGAAGTGCCAGACGGCTCCTAGGATATTAGGGCAGATGGGGAGAAGAAGAAAAAATGATAGTGGGAAAGGAAAGAAGCCATGTTTTTTTCTCTTTTTTTGTTACTGCTATTGACATTTCAATATCATATTTTTAGCACAGGCTGGAGAAGGAAACAAACCAAACTCAGCCCAGCTGGAATTGAGGATGGTCCAAAGCAAAAAGGACATAGAAAACCCAGCGATGATAATAAAAGCTACTGTGTTATAAAGGCTGTATGTCTCCTAATAACGCACAATGTATTGATGTCCTCTTTTTCTTTCCTGTAAATTGTAATGTTTGCCTTAGATCTGTGACAGAAACCTGACTTCCATGAAATAGCACCCAGCATAGACAGATACCTATTATCAAACATATGTGCTGGCCTGGCTTGGTTTAAAAGCAAAACAGCAAGTATTGAAACTTACTGCAAGGTATCAAAATGGCTGTGAAATTCACTCAGTCTTTTATTACCCTGGGCAACTGAGTACAAGGGTTCCTGACTTGCCAAAGACATTGGGTGTGAATTTGCTAGTAGAGCTGACTGACTGGAGCCTATGCAGTAGTAATGCATCTTGTGCCAATTGTGTTGGCTACCTGCTCCTTTTGCTGAATCCAGTTGGTAGCCTGCTGTGGTGTTCAGCATTTCAATTACTCTAAAATCAAGTATGATTAAAACTGTCCAGAAGGTCCAGGATGGGTGTAGGGAGTTACTTGAGAGATGTTTTGCTTTCAGTACTCCGCAGAGGTCTTGAGGTGTCATTTCATGTTTCTGATAACTGCTCCTGTCTCGAGCCTATAAATGATTACACAGTTCCAATTTCTACAGGTGCTAATCGCTTTATTCTCAGCGACAAGCATCCACATGACTTTCTTCCCATGTCCCACTCCAAAAAAGATGGACAACAATGAATGAATAACTATTTACTAGCACTGCATAGAAACTTATAACTCTACCTCTGAAAGCAGACTTCATTCCTTTTTTACTAAAGATTATTCAAGACAAAGCTTCCTTATGAAAAGAAAATAATGTGGCTACCTACTTTGAAAGCTAAGTAACCTATTAGCAATTTTTATCCATTGGAATACTGTGCTACTGATTACCTTCATTATTTGCTGAGGACAGTTTAGTCTTCATGGATAGTTCTATTTATAAACACCAGAGGGCAGTTCTACTTAATACAAATGAGTTGTCTGTTTCATTTGTAAATGCACTGTGTAGGGAAAGGCTGGGTTAGTTATAAGCTTGCTCATGGTGAGTGATGTGTAGAAAAATTGTTGTTCATAGTGCCATTCTTTGCAATAGTCCATTTTCAGAACCATTTTTCTTGTGCTGCAGAACAAATAGTAACTTTATGTTCATTATTCAAATAAGTTGCTAGAGATTTTATCAGAGCAAAGATTTTATATATGCAGTTTATTCCATTTTATATTTATCATTTATATTGCTATATTCTTATATTCATATCAAGTTTCTTTGAATCTCTCGTGAGCAAGATGGACAATATTGCTTGTCTGTTTCATGCTTGTGTATAGCGGGATGTTGAAATATATCTAGATAGCTCTACTGTTCTCTCATAATCACTGTAGTACCTGAGCACCTCAGTATAACAGTTCCCCTGGCCTAGCTTTTTCTTTCTTTTTATGGAACAGCTGGGGAAATATAATTCCTATTTTTTTTATCAGACTTCTGTTCCCTGAAGTTTTTGTAGAATGGGGCCTCAGTCCTTTGCAGTTCCCTGCATACTCTCAGGCACATCTTATATTTACTGTTTTTCTGCGGGAGGTCTTGACCACATACAGCTTCTGTTGACCTCCGTGAGCAGTCACAAGTTCTTGACATCTCTTGGCATGTGGACTTCTCCTGGTAGCACAGAAATTGCACTTTTGTACAATAGCAGAGATCAGATGTTCACCAAGAAGGGAGGGCAGCTTTGTTTTGCGCAGCAAAAACGTGAGGTCATTGTCTCCTGTGTTCCTCCCCAGCATCATTCTCCTGGCAAGGGTTGTCTAATTTATAATCAGTGTCAGTGATCTAGCTTGAGCCACTCTCCCTCACTCCTGCCAACAAACCCGGGTCTGGTTTTAAAGTCTGCAGTTGTGCAAGTTATCTTCACTGAGTTCCTGTGTGGACTTCCTGTCATTGGTACTGTTGTTTGGCCTCTAGTGGGGGCAAACAAAACTATTTTTACAGCTAATGTTAGGCTGAACTGATTTTTTTTTTTTCTCGTTAATAGGACAAAGGTAGTACAATTCATAGGCCTCTTAAATCCCTCATTTTCAGTCAGTAAATGCCATTTAAGTAAATGCATTTTGTAATAGATTTAGAGAACTCTCAGGTTTTGTCCTAGGTAGCTAACGATTTCATAATCAAGTCTGATTTTGCTCTGTAATTACAAATTTGTCTTTCTTATTTAAGAAACAGAAAAAGAATCCATAGATTACCTAGTAAACTTGACTGCTGCCACAATTTACGATAACCACTGCCATGAAATAACTGTAGCAATAATAATTCTGGTGTCAAATGAAGTGTAGCCATCTACACTGAAGGGGGGAGCTTGTGACAGCCCTCTAAATCTTGTAAAGGTGGTAAACAGTACCTTTTTTCCTCTGTATTGTGTTTTTAAACTTTTAATTAGTTTTGTTTCTTGTTAATCACTTCTCATAAATATATAGAGAAACAGCTCTTTATATTCGTCAATTGTCCATTTTAATATAGATACAGTAAAAGCTCTGTTATCTGGCATCCCCTGGGAATGGGGGATGCTGGTTAATCAAACATGCACCGTTCGGTACACTCCCCGGTGTCAGTGTGCCGTGGGACAGGGAGGGGGCCCTGCGCAAGCTGCTTTGCCCCATGCAGGCTGCTTTGTCTTGGGCCGTGGGCTGAAGAAGTGGCAAAGAAAAACTCGGCTCGCAGCGGCGAAACGGGAATTCTCCCGGAAGTGGTACTTCCAGTTTTGCTTTTGCCGCGAGCCTCAGATGCCAGTTATTAGAGTTTTCTGGCTAATAAAGTGCCAGTTAACACAGCTTTTGCTGTTTATCTTACTATGGAAGCTGCATGGGAAATCTTAACTTCTAGAGACAACAGTTTTTGAACAAAAAGGATATTTCACTGCTGCATCTCTGGAGGCTTTTGCATTGCTTGAGTTGTAAATTTAACCTTATTCCATCCAGAATCTTTATTTCTCCATGGCTTAAGGCAAATTTCAGGTTCTTCATTTAAAAGAAAACAAAGTTCATAATCCTTCCTCCCTTTTTGAAATCGTAGTAGTAATAACAATAGTCTATCCAAGTTTCTTGCTATCAAGAGACCGTACATGTGACAAACATGTGATAATTGCTACCAAAACAAGTCCTTTTTAGCATGAAGGGAAAAATATATTAGTTTGTGGATCTACAGAAATGGCCCTGATGGGAACATTTAGTTTTGATTTGTTTGTTTTAAACCAACAGGAGTTGGACTGAATTATCGTTTAGCACAGATTTTTTTTTTTTTTTTTTTTTTATCTGGAAAGCAGAGCTGAAAGCACATTTTACCATAAGATAGAGTAGGGGCAAGCTAATAAGGAACTAAACACGTGTGTTAGCAGGTTGGAGCACTGACCGAGGTCAGATATTGGGAATGCAGCAGTGGCTTGTTCCTGATGCTTCAGAGGAAGGTGGAGCACTTCAGTCATTGACCTCTAGCTTAATAGCTATGACATTGTAAGAAATTAATATAATATTCAGGAGAAAGCAGGAGAGGAAACATCTGCTTTAAAAGCTGAGCTAGCAGTTCAGATTTTTCTACTGACAAGATTTGGCAGCCACTGCCTGAAAGTAAATTGTGTTGAAGATAGTGGGATTTGCTTATATGTTATTGGATTTAACTGCCCATTGAATTACTGCAAATATGGTTAGACCTATGTGGAAGGTTTAGAATAATGCTTGGCCTCTTAATAATGGAGGAATCATTAAAAAAACTCCTGTAAATACATATGGTATTTACCTTTTTGTAATTGAAACACACAGACATAGATATTTAAAAATATTGAAGCTATGCATAAAATGTAGGTTCATTTTTCCTTGTTAAATGTTATACTGCACTTTTTTTCCTAGTGTGCATGTGTGCGTGTGTGTAGGGCAGTGGCTTTTTTGTTTTTTGTTTTCATTTAAGAACACAATTTAGAGCAAAATACATCAACTCAGCACAATCATATCCAATCAACCTTATGTTCCCCTTTTGTGGATGTGACATCCACAAAGATGTCAGATATCCAGGTTGTAGCCGTGTTGGTCTAAAGGAACAGGCAGTCAGGACTTGTACTAGAGATGATATCTTTTATTAGACCAACAAGATTGTTGAAAAATATTTCTTTAAAGAAATTGTAGAATTTTTGGCAAAAATCTTGTTGGTCTAATAAAAGATATCTCTACTGCGAGTCCTGATTCACAAAAATAGCATTCATAATGAAATTATTTGTGGAACAACCAGGAAATGTTTGTTTTCCTTGTCCTTCAGGACATCTAACCATTATTTATTACAAGAAAGTGACCAGATCTCAGGAGTTGTGAGTCTTATCCATAGGCATCGACTCTGTAGGTGATCTGGGGCTAAAGCACCCATGGAGGAAATTTAGCGGGTGCTCAGCACCCATGAGCCATGTTGGGCATGCTGGGTTGAAGTAATATGCTTCCTCTTCTGTGCATGGGTGGAGCTTGGTGCAGGAACGCAGAAAAACCCCACCTGCCAGCAAAAACCAAAGTTGGTGCCTGTGGTCTTATCTCCTCACAAATCCTTATGCAAAAAAACAACTAAATGATAACTAAGGTAAGCCAAAAGGGCGTCTGTTAACTGCAGAGGGCAAGCACCTTGGCAGAGACTACTAGATTCAGTAAATTCTGTTCAGTAATTTTTATGACTAGTAAGAAAATGGAAGGTTCCTGTTGTTTGCTACAGCTAATCAGTTTGTATTTCAGTCCTTTTCTGGTAATGAAATTTTCAGTCCATGTGTACAGCCATTTTGATTAGTGCAATTTCACTAATTTGTGGAGCCATTTTGGTAGACCAAAACTTACCTTAAAATGAATTATTTTCTCTATTCTGGCCTGAATGTACCTTTCATGTGCTCTAAACTTTGACTTCCTTGAAAGTTACATGGATAAACTCATCATGATAATGTCAAAGAAATGTGGTTTGTGGAAATTTTATTTTCGCTTGGTATAAGCGCACTTTTTTAAAAAGCTTGTAGTAAAATAGCTAACTAAAATGTTTGTTTGGTGATTTACACTTTCAAATGTAATGAATCTGTAATCAAAATCCTATACTGGGGTGGGCAAAATGTGGCCCGTGGGCCAGACGTGGCCCACCAGGCCATTCTATCCAGCCCGTGGGGCCCCTAAAAAATTTAGAAAATTAATACTTATCTGCCCCTGGCTGCCTGTCATGTGGCCATCAATGACTTGCCAAAACTCAGTAAGCGACCCTCTGCCCAAAATAATTGCCCACCCCTGTCCTATATAAAATATTCGGAGGACCAAGGTTTCTAGCTAAAAATACTGCCTTGTTTAGACGTATCTTATACTTATTTTGATTGGAAAGTGATGATTTTTTGTGTGATATTGTTACGGTGATTGTATTAATTTATTTTATGATATGTGGCAAGAAAGATTGTAATAAATGTCTACATTTAATATATTGTGTGTAACATCCAAAAAAGGATCTAAATGTTGGACCATTTCAGAATTAAAGAGAACAAGAACAGTTGATAGTCTTCCTGGGTAAAGTGAATTCAATTGAAGACTTTTTTTTTTTTTTAATTGGGTA